CTTTGGACTTGAACTCTTGAATATCTTTGGACTAGTAAAAAGTCATCCAGGCTTTGCTCAGCCCCCACCGCCTTTTCCGATCTCTACTCAGACAACATTGCATTGACTTTAGGTTGTGTTCAACGTTGGTCATGGGACTTGAGTCTTGAAGCCTGTTCTAGAGAAAGAAATGTATGCTGTATTGCCTCTAAAAAGAGCCCATGTCAGTAGGCCAGGCCTTTTGATTTCCTCATCTTATTGCTGTGTTTGTTGCAGTGGTGAGCTCAATAAAGGAATGGAACGAAACATCCTTGAATCCAGGTGGCCTCTGTGAGGTGGACAAACTGACCTTTACCTTAGTGAGGTCTAGGACGTCTCAGGACGGGAAGCCACTTCTATTCTGCCCAGTTCTGACCACATAGTTATCATAGGCTCTAGATTTGTTGTCTTTGTGGACTCTTCCACAAAAGCACCTAGAAATCATACTACAACTGGCTATTTATAAATACATCATTATGTATTAGGATTCATTTTTTTTACTGGAAAGTTTGTTGTGTTTTTTGTCCCTTTGGACATTAATATAGTTGAAAACATTTTCTCAATCTCTAATCACTTGTGCCTACTGGATAGGTTGTCCCTGAAGAGCCTAAGCTATGAATGCTTTCTAGGGGGACACACACATTTTCTAGATGGTACTGAGACTTGAATCCAAGATTTCACACTTGGTAGGCAAGTCTTCTATCACTTGATTCATATCCCCAGCTCTGACTGTGCCCTCTGTTTTCTTCAAATACATTTCCAGAATTGGCAGAGTCTTCTGAGTGTTAGATGTTGAGCTAACCTCAAGTACTCAGCTAAAAGATGGTTTCCTGTGTCTTGGTCACTGAGCTTACAAGTAAGAGGGGAAGAGGAGTCGGACTTCTCCCAGGTTGTCAAGTGCCTGAAAGTCCTGAGCTTCACACTCACAGAATGGAAGAGTCTAGAAATGATGGTTATACTAACAGATTCCCAGAGCCAAGGGAGACAGGATCTTGTTACACAGCCTCCAGCTTGTTTAAAACTTGCTGTGTAACCAACCCAGGCTGGTCTTGAATTTGAGATTGTCCTGTCTAGGCTAGGCCTCCTGAGTACTGGCATTACAGGCATGTGTTGTCACATGCTCTCCTTGGCTCTAAGTTACCCAAGTGATCAGAATACAGTTTCTAGCCTGGAAATGCTATGGACGTCTCCGGAAATCTTTTCTGCCTCTGTTGGCTGGCAGCCGACTAACTGGGCAGGCTCTGTGATAGGGGATAGCCGGCTCCTGTACAGCAGATTTAGGCCAGGTCAACTGTGTGTTTGAATTTTGCTTTTCTCCTTTTGATCCTGGGTGGTTACAAAGGTGTGATGCAGTTGGGGACTCTTCTAGTCACCTTTTTCTTCCTCTTCTTCAGTATCTGCAGCAAGGGAGAGTGAGATCCTCCACCCAAGGTGCACAGAAGCTGGGCCTGAAGTGGCAGCAGGACAGGGGTGCAGTGGGAATGGGGATTGCCAGAACCTTCATGATGGCTCAAAGGTTAGTGTTAGGGAGAAGACAGAGAGTTCTTGGCATGGGCACACTTTCTGTTTGTTTTCTTCACTTGGATCATCTCAGATTTTCCTGAGCCTTTTCTGTCCTCTACTTCTGTGTCCATCTACAGAAAGCTGGGATAGTCTCCTTCATAGTTAGGCACAGCTTCATGACTGAGTCCCAGAGGGTAACCTGGTAGCTGCGTTGGGACCTGGTAGTACTGAGGAAATCTGGTGCTGTGTGATAGGGTGATCTGGTGTTCTCATTCTGGGGGATCCTGGCAGGCAGATGAATGGTGAATCTCCTGGGGATCTTGGGTTTCTGTTATTTTCCATCTCAGGAGGCAGACTGTGCAGAGCTGGGTCCTTGTCTGATTAAACCCTGATAGGGGAAGATTCCTCCCTAGCCTGGATTGAGTGCTAAATCCTTCCCCTTCCCCTGCTGTGTGTGGTGCTGGGGCTGCTGAAACAGCATTGAATTTGACTTGATTGATAGTGAATCCCAGGCTACCCAGCACCCTGGGGAGATAGCCCTGCTAAATTGAAGAATTTTCCAGGTCCAGAGGTTTTTATTTTTTATTTTTGTTTTTTTTGGTCGGTTGTGGGGCTTGAACTCTGGTCCTGGGCACTGTCCCCCAGCTCTGATTCAGCTCAAGGCTAGTGCTCTACCACTTGAGCCACAGCGCCACTTCCGGTGCTTTCTGGTGGTTTATTGGAGACAAGAGTCTCATGGACTTTCTTGCCTGGGCTGGCTTTGAACCGTGATCCTCAGATCTCAGCTTCCTGAGTAGCTAGGATTACAGGTGTGAGCCACTGGCGCCCGGTTATCCCAGAGGGTTTATATATTTAAATACATAGTTTAATAGTTTTGGAAAGAAATCTTTTTTAATCCTGAATACTTGACTCTCTTCCCTTCTGTGATGTCCCAAGTTTGTCAAGACTAGTAAATATACTTCTTGTTTTGGGATATGAAATGTGGAAGTCCTCAGGGGTCCTCAGTGGGTGCAGTATTGCTTATCATGAGTGAAAAGTCCTTAGAATTGTGTTTGGGTCTTTTCCCCCCGTTTTTCTTTTTCCTCCCTGTTTTTGGCTATTTCTCTTTTTCTTTTATCATCTTTAAGTAGTGTAAAAAGGAGTTGTCACTCAACAAAGCAGTTTGTGAATATAGTGCCTCTTGATCAATGTCACCCCTTTTCAACCTTCTCACCTACCCCTCCCAACCCTACCCTCCCTCACTTTTCTTCATTAATTTTTAGTTTTGCTGATTTTATTCTGGGGGGCTTTGGACACCAAGTATCTAGAAAACAGGCTTACTGGAGCAGTTGGTATAAAGTACAAAAATTCTTCATGAGATGGTTCTTGTGTAGAAAATGCCAAGAAATTAAAATGCATCGATATGGACACAGTTATTATGATATCCAGTCTTGTTTGCCTCTGCTTCCTGATTCTTAATCCTGTTCCACATCACAAAGTAGTGGACATTGTCATTGTGTGTGTGTATGTATGTGTGTGTGTGTGTAATTAGCAGTCTTGGAGTTTGAACTTAGGGTCTTGTACTTGCACTTTACCACTGTAAGCTATGCCTCTAGTCATGTTTGTTTGGTTTGTGCTGGTTATTTTAGAGATATAGTTTAGTGAATTTCTTTGCCCTGGCTGGCCTTAAACTGAGATCTCAGATTCCCGAGTAGTTAAGATTATAGACATGAACCAGTGGCATCCAACTGCAAGTCATACTTGAATTGCTAGGCTTGCAATCTACTCTCTAGAGCCCTATGAGGAAAGTGCTATTGTTATTCTGCTATGCACCATTAGAAAAACAAATGCTATATGCTGAGAAACATGCCGATAAAGAGGCAAGGCTGAGATTTAACCTGAGTACACCAACCTTAATTGGTGAAGCTGTTGTGGATGTTTCTGTAGCTGGTGACATGGGGCCAGGTGTCAGGCCCTGTGGGAAAGGAATGAGGGGACAAGAGCTTCTCTTGAAGGCTTGCAGGTTCGAAGGACTGTGGGACACCCATGGATGCTGCAGCAGATGCTGCCATGGAACAGCTCGCAGTGTTGTGCTTGAGCTGAACCAACACCACATGATTAACAGCAGTGCTCGCTCATCCCACCACACAGCATGGCCAGGGAGAGGTCCAACAGAGCCCCACCATTTCCTGAATTCTCCAGGGGCTGTCATCTATAGGTACCTGGCCTCAAACCCTCGTATAGCGATATTTTAAGTTGCACTTCTATTTTGTGATTGAGACTGTAAGATGTTGAAGAGAATTTGCAAGATATGCTGAAAAAATAGCAACACTGCAGATCTCGGGGTCAGTAGGTGTGTGTTTCTGGGTGGTGTGATCTGCTTTCCCCTGTGTGTGTGTGTCTATAGGAGTGGGGCAGAGTGGGGGCGGGGCTGATTGGGGGGGGGTGTTTCTTCTCACCCTCCCTTAGACAAGTATCAGCCAATGCATCTGTGGTAGCTAGGACCTGAGTTCAAGGTCCTCTTCACCTGGCCTGAGCATACAACAGGTTTTAGAAAAGTCTAAAGAGTGGGTTGAGAGGGATGGGTGAGAATTGTTGAAAAGGGTGACATCGATCAAGACGCATTGTATTCATGAAGTGCTTTGTCGAATGGCAACCCCTTTGTACAACTACTTTAAGATGGTAATAATACTAATAAAAGAAAGTCTAAGGAGACTTAATGGATGCTCTATGGACGGATATCTTGATGAAGTTTCTAGCCCGGGGAGAAGCTGAAACTACTGAATGAAGTTTCATTGTTCTTGGGTTTAGGGGTGCACTGCACAGATAGACTTGGAGGCCATCAATAGGCTGGTGCTCTAACAAAGCACTGTGGGAACATCCTGGTAGTGGTAAGTTGGCAAATGAGGAGTGCTGGGGAATTCTGGGACTGGTCCTGTCTGGCTGGTGTCTCTCCCACCTGGCACTCCTTTGCCAACCATGCCATGTCTCATTGGTCTTAATGGCACCTAATCTGCCCTGTTGAGACCATCAATGATGAAGGACTTAAACATGCACTAGTGGTGTTTGAACCTGGAGGTACTGGACTGACTCATTCCATATGAAGAAAGCCTTGCAGATGCTTCACCCTGTCCTGGGCGGGTAGGAGGGAGCCAGAACAGAGTGGAATCCCTATCGCTTCTCTGAGTTCAAATCTTGGATCTCTCCCTAGGCAGGTTTGGGATCCTGATCAAGGAAATTGGGCTCTGTAATCCCCAATTTCTCCATCTAGAACAGTTGGGGGATGTTACCAACAATTCCCAGCTAAGAGTTGCTGTGAGACTACTAGGTTACCCATTACTAATGAAGCAAAGGTTCTGGTGTGCAACTGGCTTTCAAGAGACATCAGTCATGTCCATCCTCTATGTTCTTTGTCATGTCCATCTTCATTATCAAGCGTCCAGAGGGCCCCATCTCTGTGAGACACTGGACCTGGAGCGCTTCTTTTTTTCTCTCTGTAGAGAACGGCGATGACCATTCTGAGGGTGGCCTGGTGGAGAACCACGTGGATGGGAACATGAACATGTTGGGAGGAGGGGGCAGTGCTGGCCGGAAGCCACTCAAGTCGGGCATGAAGGAGCTGGCTGTGTTCCGGGAGAAGGTCACTGAGCAGCATCGCCAGATGGGCAAAGGTGGAAAACACCACCTTGGTCTGGAGGAGCCCAAGAAGCTTCGGCCCCCACCTGCCAGGGTCAGTGGAGGTCTGGTCTGTCCAGGGAGGAGGAGGAAGCAGAACAGGATTTTCATAACTTAGGGTGGGGTTAGGGGGCATTCCATTCTGATTCACTGGATACCAAGCTGCCACAAAAATATCTAGTGGTCTTTGGACCACCCAGTTATTTCTGGCTGTGAAATGGATGGACACAGGGTTTCTTGCAATCGCTTCTTTATAAAACCTCCACATTGTTGGTGGCTTGTACCTGTAATCCTAGCTTCTCAGGAGGCTGAGGTCTGAGGATCACAGTTCAAAGCCAACCCAGGCAGAAAGGTCCCGTGAGACTCTTTTCTCCAATTAACCACAAATAGACAGAAGTGGAGCCGTGACTCAAATGGTAGAGCCTTACCCTTGAGCACAAAAGCCTTAGGGATAGGGCCTAGACCCAGAGTTCAAGCCCCAGGCACAGCAAAAAGAAAAGAAAACAGAACAGAAACCAAGCCTTCATGATCCTAGAGATGGAGAAGAAGTATTCTCCGTGTTGTGGTGTGCTTTTGGCACTGACCTGCCCCCTTTCCTTCCTAGCTCAGGACGTGGCCCTGGTAGGAATGTGGCCATGAATGGAGTTTGGGCCATGGACTTGGGCATAGGCTTTAGACCCATGAAGGCCTTCGCCACAGTTGGAGGGAAGTTACATCCATGTGACGGTCTTTAGGGGTGAGCTGGGTGCAATGAGTTCACTAGGCTAGTTGTCACTGGTCATACCCCCTACTTTCTGAGATTGCATCAAGGCTCTGTTTTGTGGGCTTATTTTATTCTCACCCCGAGTCCTCTGTGCCAGACCCCTTGCCAGCAAGAACTGGACCAGGTCCTGGAGCGGATCTCCACCATGCGCCTTCCGGATGACCGGGGTCCCCTGGAACACCTCTATTCTCTGCATATCCCCAACTGTGACAAGCATGGGCTCTACAATCTCAAACAGGTGAGTGCGGGTGTCAGCCTGGACGGGAGGAGTTCCTTCTCAGCCCTAGGCCTTGGTCTACCTGGTTCCTGCACCACTGCCCTTCAGTCAATCCTCGGAGGCCTGGGAGCTGAGCCGAGACACAGGCTTCTCCTGACCTTGAGAATGGCAACCGTGACTTCTCTATGTCCTGAGGCCAGGGCTCATCTGTTCTAGTCACCTGCCAGCTATGCCTGGTGTCCAGATTGGGAGCCTCTTACTAGTTTGGTAACCAGGGGCAAGTTAGTTGACCACATTGGGCTTCAGGCTTATCGTCTGTGAATTGAGATAATCGTACCTCACTCACAAGCTGTTGAGGCTCGTGTCAATCTATATATTAGATCTAAGCTGAATGCTTGGGGTATATATTGGTTTACACTGGCTAATAGGAGGATTTTCTCCCTTCTACTGTGGCTCAGTTCCCATAGACTGGGTCCCCCACTGCATTAGACCTCGCTGAGGGTGGAAGCTTAGTCTTTTCTTTGTCTTTGGGTGCCAACAACAGCCACGCTGATGGGAGCATCACTTAGTAGCATCTTAGTCCTGCAGGATTTCAGGTCATTCCAGTCCTACTGAATGCAGGTACATGTTCGAGGGATTCCCAATACATACTCGAGGCTGAGAAGGGCCACTGCGTGGCTGGGGCTCAGCAGAGGCCGCACAGGGAGCCTCCACAGGTGGAGTGAAGGAAGGTAAGCAGGTGACTGCTCTTTACATTCTCCTCTCCGCAGTGCAAGATGTCTCTGAACGGGCAGCGTGGGGAATGCTGGTGCGTGAACCCCAACACTGGGAAGCTGATCCAGGGAGCTCCCACTATCCGAGGAGATCCTGAGTGCCATCTCTTCTACAATGAGCAGCAAGAGGCTGGTGGGGCGCATGCCCAACGGGTGCAGTAAACCATCGCCCGCCAGTGCCTGGCTCCCCACCCCCAAACACCAGCAGAAATCGAGGGTGCTTGGGCAGTGAGCGGGGAGGATTTCCCAGGAGTTTTGACACATGTATTTATATTTGGAAAGAGACCAGCCCCGAGCCCGGCACCCCCCTGCTCCTCTTTCCCTGGCTGGCGATGGTGTTTAGTGTCCCTTTTACTTGCCCCTGGGGAGAGAGAAGGTGTTACAGGGGGAGCCGGGGACAGGTTTGGGAGGGGGGGAAAAGAAATTTTTATTTTTGAACCCCTGCGTCTCTTTTGCTTAAGATTAAAGGAAGGAAAAATAATGTGTGTGTCTTGCCTAGGTTTTTTGGGGTCTCTCTGGGAGAGAACTTGGGAGGCTTGCCCCTGACTCCTGGGGAAATAGGAAAGGTGTTATTCTCACCATAAGTAGGAACAAGAAGGAAGGAGCTTTGATTGCATCCAGATCAACCTTGCAGGGTAGCTGGGAATGTCCTGGAAAGGCTTTCCCCACCCCGCCCCCCGCTTTTTTTTTTTTTTTTTTTTTTTACCATTCTTGTCTCACCAAGAACCTGCTTAGCCCTTTATAGAATGAGTAATGGCTATGGGTATGTGGTAATCCCAGCTGTAATCCCAGCATTCAGAAGGCAGAGGCAGGAGGATCAGGAGTTTGAGGTGACCCTACATACATCCAAGGCTGTCACAAAACACAAAGAAAAAGAAACCCAAAGGAGCTGGTGTCTCACACCTGTAATCCTAGGTACTCGGGAGGCTGAGATCTGAGGATCACAGTTCAAAGCCAGCCCAGGCAGGAAAGTCCATGAAGTCCTTATTTCCAGTTAACCACCAGAAAACCAGAACTGGAGCTGTGGCTCAAAGTGGTGAAGTGCTAGCCTTGAGTGAAATTGCTCAGGGACACTATTCAGGCCCTGAATTCAAGCCTCGTGACAGACCAAAAACAAACAAAAAAATCAGATGACACTGCAATGGGAAATAGAAACCTTGGACTTGAGATTCTCTGGCTCCTGAAATAAAGTAGAGCTCTCTTGCTTGGAAACTATTTTATCTGAGCCCCAAGATTGCTATTTACAAGGAGGTCATCTCGGAGAACTTATCAGCCGCTCTTTGAGGGGCTCAAATACTTGCCTCACAGAATGTGAATATCAACTTGAGTCACAGTGCAGGAGCAGGTAGGTGGGGTTGTTTCTTAATATCAGAGTTCACTCACTGTGTTCTGTTTATTCCTAAACTCGTGAAGTCCATGGAATGCCCTCCACCTTTGCAGTGCACTGTGGGAGGGTTGCTCTTTTGTAGCATGTGACCTTGAACTTGACCTGGGTACTACTCTCCAACTTGCACTTCAAGACGGTGGCCATAGGAAGGACCCCTTTGTCCAGTCTATTACTCTTCAGACCTTCCATCTGGCAAGTCTAGAGAGGCTTAGGAATGCCCGGAGCCTTAGAAGAATCACTTGGAATGCAGCAAGTGTCTAGGATCCCGAGATTTAGAAGACCCCTGCTAGGAAAATAGATTTTAGGCTATACCAGCCCAGGCCAAGGTGTCTCCTACTACCCTGCGAGTTCATTAATTCAGTTAATACTCAGGAAGCAATGAAAATGGCACTGTTAATTTCACTTCACAGATGAAGGTATGGTATGGTCTCCAGGGCTGCCCCAACTCTGGTATCCTGACTCTGGCCCCTTTGTCCTGGGGCTGCTGCTCACCCTGAGTTATGCTGCCCCCTGCAGGTGGAAACTGCTTGGAGAGCGTTGTGCACTGGTTTATCTGGTGTGTGTGTGGAGGGGAAGGGGGCAGTAGTCCCCTACATGGGGTCTGATTTCCTTTCTTCCAAATGATGAATAAAATGATTTTTTAAAAAATCAACCCCTTAACCAGGTGCCCGTGGCTCACGCCTGTAATCCTAGCTACTCAGGAGGCTGAGAGCTGAGGATCATGGTTCAAAGCTAGCCCCGGCAGGAAAGTCTGTGAGACTCTTATCTCCAATGAACCACTCGAAAACCGGAAGTGGTGCTGTGGCTCAAGTGGTAGAGCGCTTGCCTTGAGCTGAAGAGCTGAAGGATAGCGCCCAGGCCCAGAGTTCAAGCCCCACGACCGACAAAAAACAAAAACTAAAAAATCAACCCACTGACATTCTGCAATCTCACCCCCTTGCCTGCTGGAGAATTCTCAGGTATGTACAGCCAAGGATGAGGACAGACAAATAGAAGTCAGGATATTTGAGTTTGGATTGTGGCATTCATGTACATACGCACACTCTCTTCTTCTACCTAATGGGGACATGTTCAGCTTCAAGTAATGGGATGGCATCCAGGAGAGGCTGTGAGTGTGGTGTGCTTTTGGAAATTAGAACACTGTACAAGACAGAGGAGTTCTCCTGGAGCTCTTAATACATTTTTGTTGTTGTTGTTGTTGTTTTGGGTCCTGTCATGGGGCCTGAACTCTGGACTTGGGTGTTGTCCCTCAGCTCTTCAGCTCAAGGTTAGCATTCTACCACTTGAGCCATAGTGCCACTTCTGGCTTTTTTTCTGCTTATGTGGTGCTGAGGAATCGAACCCAGGGCCTCAAGCATGCAAGGCATGCTTGAGCCATCTTCCCAGCCCTCCTGGAGCTCTTAAGTCAGTTCTCACAGCAATATAGGCCCCAAGGTAGCCACCTTGCTCATGTCCTTTCCAGAACCTTCTACAGAGGGTTCCTCAGGATGTCCCAGTTTCTTGGCCCATTTCATGTCCCTTGCCTATAGAAGGGGCTCATAATAGTACACAGCATACAAACAGCACGCCCACTGTGACTAGTTCCAAGAGCCACAATCACTGCCCGAGGGCATGACCTAAAAGTGCCATTGTCTTCTTTGTGTGGGATAGCTGGCTGGGTGGGATCTTGCCTTCTTGTTAGACTGACTGCCTTGAAAGTTTAGGCCTGGCTGTTGACACACTCTGGGGCTTTACTGCCTCTGTGTGGCAGTTTGGGGAACTGCAGTTGATCTCAATTTGGACCTTGATGAAGAGCTCCGGGACCAGAATGAGTCAAATAGTGAGTTTCCTCCAGATCTTCAGACTGTCCGAGTTATGCGCTCAGGAAAGGATCTGCTATCATGTTCATTTAAATATGTATCCTGTGTGATTCGCTTATAAGTCTGATGATTTAAATTTGTAAGGCCCAGGGTGGAATGAAAATATGGAGTCCCTTGTTAGAAATTCCTGAGGATTTCAAGTGACGGGAAAGCATTATACCAAGCCTGGAGCCCCGAGTGCTTGCGTGGGAGAGTGCTTGCCACTAAACCTGGTCCAGAGGCAGAGAGCAGGACTGTGACCTCTTGGAGACTAGAAGGCCAAGCAGAGTAGGCGATGGATTAAAAAAAATACAATAGGGGAGACCCTTTCAGTAAAGCCACTTGTGGCTCTCTCTCCCATGCTACCATCATACACTTGAGTTGTAATGGGAAAGTTCCAGCTTCAGATTTGGAGGATTCCAAAGCTCAAGAGTGTGGCTGAAGTGGACAGAGGCTAAGAGAGCAGGTGTGAGGAGCCAGCATCACAGAGATAAGCTGCCAAGAGCTGGGGGTGGAGGTGGGGCAAGCAGATACTGGGGCCTAAGTCCCGCCTCCTAGGGCTGCAGGTGCATCTCAGCGCGTGACGGTGGAACAGGTGTGGATTAGCTAAGAGCCAGATGGCTAAGTGGTGGCAGCTGTATGCAGTTAGAAGAGGAAGGTTCTAAGGATCTGGACAAGGCCTGGGGAAAAGAAGGAATGGAGCAGGCTTGGCTCCATCAGGGGACTTGGGGATCATGAACCCCAAGGAAGAACAACTTGGAGAAGAATCTTGGCACCCAACGCCTCCAGGCATCATGAGGTGAGCAGTGAGTTTCTGATGCACACATCAGGAGGCTGTCAGGGCAGGGGCGGTGCACGGCTTCTTCCTGTTCTCCAACTCCAGGCACCAGGGAGAAGGCACCTGTTCTCTCTCTACATCACGTGCTGTACCTTTCACATCCTCAGTCTTTACCCATTACTGCTGGGCACAGGTTGCAGGTGACTGAGGGCAGTAGATAGGTGACCAGTATCTAAAATATAGTTTTCTCTGGTTTCCTTGGCTTTGTGAACTTCAAGAAATCTGGTACTGAGAAGTCTCAGGGAAGAGTTTCAGCAACTGCTCAAGGGGATGTATGCATAGGGAAGGGCCTGCCTGGCAGGTAAGGACACCTCCAGTCACCCTAATTGCCATGTGGCAAGGTGCAGGTCATGAGGACTCCTAGGAGCTTTAATGTGGATCTGTCTGTGGGGAGGAGGGTAGGACCAATCTGTGGGACACTCAGGGGTGCTCTGCTGTGGGAGGCCTGGTGAATGAAGATGGGGCTGTTGAGAACTGGAGTGGTGGGGGAAGGGAAGAGCCCCAGGGCAGAAGCAGCCTCGGAAGAAGGAATGCTGCTGATAGAGATGGGGCGGGCAAAAGGCTGGAGGGTATGATTTAAATCAGAGAGGTTGTTTCATAGCTTTATGCTTCCATGGGCACACGCAGCTATAGAGTCTGGGTAGGAACCAGAGGTAGGGTTTCCCCTTGGCCAGAGTTCTGAAGGGCTAAGAGCTTGCAAGGCACTGGAACAGGAGGTGGAGGACCATCTTAGAAATGCTTTTCTTAGAATCTTCTCTAAAGAGAAGAGACTTTTTTTTTTTGATGCTGGTCCTGGGTCTTGAACTCAGGGCCTAGGTCTTGTCCCTGAGCTTCTTTTGCTCAAGATTAGTGCTCACTTGAACCACAGCTTTACTTCTGGATTTTTTTTGTAATGTATTGGAGATAAAGATAAAGACTTTCCCTGCTAAGGGTGGCTTTGAACCTCAAATCTCAGCCTCTTGAGCAGCTAGGATTACAGGCATGAGTCACTGGCACCCGTCTAAGAGGAGACATTTGAAGGGCAAAGTAAGACTACTTCAGACGGAGACCAATAGCAGTTGCCCCAGCTGTGAGCTGGACACGCATCTCATTTTCTGAAGGCTGTGCTGCGTTTGCTCTGTGGTCAGTACCCGCAGTGGGGCTCAGGGAGGTCAAGGAGGGAAGGGATGCTCAGGTTCTGGGCGGAGGGCTCATCTGTGAGGAGCCTTTTTCCACTCAGGGTCCTCTCTGGAGGATGTACCCGGGCCTGAGTTCTTTCTCCTAGTGCTCTCTGCTCTTGGAGAACTGAAGAGAGACCCAGCTGCCTCTCCCTCTGCCTGCTTCCCTGAGCCCCTGGAGGAAGCCAACGCAGGCTAACTGAATGCAGAACTTTATTAAATAAATGCCTTGTCATGACAAAAGACAAAGATCAAGGAGTA